TTTTCAGCACAACGTCACGTGTCTGAATTTACAGTTATGTTTTCATTTTTACATACTGTATTAACACAATAGATCTAAAATCAGACAAAAAACATAAAATCCGAGTAGAAAGTTATATTTTTTACTGTAATAACCACAAACATGTTTATTGAATCATATTTCATAATTTTAAATGCAAATATAAATTGTCAATTTTAAACTCCTATGCACAAGTTTTGCAAACAAAGTTATTTGCAGCCATTTACCTTTTACCCTTTTTTATAACCATTTCAAATTATTTACAGAACAATCAGGTGTTCTGCATTCAATAAGATGCCACAAATTATTTGCGCCACTCCAAAAAAGTAATTTCTGTCCACTATAAAGGAGAACATCACAGCCTGATACCTGCAGGTGTGACAGCAGCAGGTGTATCACTCCTCCTGTTTCTACCCGTAGTCAGCAGTCACCTCATTGTTCTGACACACAACACAAAACTATCCACAACACTACACACTAACTACACAAGACAACACATTAACTACACACTCTAAACACGCTAAATGTTACAAATCTCTCACATCTCAAAACTCCCTCTCCCTGTTTTTCTGCTGTCTTTCTCTCTCTCTCTTTCGCTGTCACTCCTAAAACTGCCCCCTCTTCCTAAACAACCAAATGTCATGCCGCCATATCATTTTTTGATTGGTTGACATGGTGCATTTTTCCACCAAAACGAACGGGCTGTTTTTTGTCTTGTTTTTTTATTTTTTGGTCATAAGCAGAAAGTGCTTGCTAGCGCTGTCCTTAGACAGTAAACATAGCGAAACTATTCAGGAAAAACACGCTTATATATTATTTATCATGACTCTGGTTTTACTTGGTCTATCTACACAATTTGTAGATTGTTTTGCCCCCTTAGCTCCAGGTGTTGTGCCAGAAAGTGATCGTTTACCAGAAAGTGATTGCCGTCCGCGGGAGCGCGCGCAGCTGCTTAAAGCTGTAGCGCCCAGATTACTTACAGCTACTTCCATGCAACTGATATAAAATGCAGTAACCTGAACACAGCTTCAACCGTCTGTTTGTTGAAAAATAGTAACGCGACCGCACCGCATTTTCTTGTTAGCAACGATAGGAATAGTAATTAGTTAGATTAGTCGTTAATGACAAAAGTAATGCCGTTAGCAACGCCATTACTTGTAACGCCGTTATTCCCATCAGTGCTTATAATTAACTACGTACTTACTTA